TGATTGTATAACTATAATTGAGTTGCTCATGCACAACCGGAAAATGAGAACTTACCTTCTTTGAGTGATAGCAAAGATGTTTGAGCTTTCCACAGAATGATCGTTTCCTTTCTGAATAGCACTTAGTGCACTGTAAGGTGGAAGAGTGTTTTATAGAATTCGACCATTACTCAAAGTTACCTGCTGATGTCTTGATATAAATCAGTTTTTGTTCTGCTATTTTCAAATGAGCTCAATCTATTCAAGAAATCATCCGTGCTAGTGAACGTTTTGTTAAAGACATTGTTCTGAGATGAAGCACTTGGATCGCTTCCCACCAAAGAGATTCGCATTTCATTGAGATTGAAACTTGTTACTAGTTGTCTAATGGAATTCTGAAAACAAAGATATATATATATATATATATAAATAATAAATGAACTTACAATCTGAACATTATATAAGTAGTCTGAATACCCAGTGAGGTCTATGATAAAAGATAGTCCGTTTCCTTTTCCTTGATATGCTTGTTGGCCTTAAATTACAAAGCAAACATGAGTAAAGGAATGTCTGATTACAGTAGAGTCCACTTGTATCGTAAGAACAGTCACATGTAAGCTTGGTTGAATATTTGGATTTTGTTGAGCATTGAGGATAAGAACAATCTGTACCATACCAGTTAGACAAACAGTTGCATTCACCATTAGCGAGATGGCCATGATAACAATCGTCTGAAACAAATAGAATCGATGCTATATGAATCATTAGCTTATCATTTAAAGAATGTTAACATCCTGTTATTAAACTAACCATTCGTTTCAGGCACAAAACATGACAGGGTTTGTTGAATTTGGTAACCAGAGTTAGTTTTTTTGTCAGTCGAAATAATCTGGAAAAGGATATAGGCATAGCTTATTCATTTGATCTTACTCTCAATTTATACACTTCATTTTTGTGACAGAAATTAGGGAGACCTAATGTTAATTCAGAATAATATGGATATAAACAGCTGGAATCTGTTCTTCTTGAAACAGGCAGCTGGGTCGAGAATAAATCTTCCGAAGTGTTAATATTCACACCAATTATTTCAAGATACGCCATGTTCAGTGAAGAATCACCCAAGAACATATTTGAAATATAGAAATTCAAGATGTTGTTGGCTGTAAAATGGTTGTAACATTAGCGAATAACGCTCTATGTATCATACATGCGTGTGGTCCAAGATTTAAAAAGTTCTCATCAATTTTCCAGAGGTCACTTCGATCTTGGAATCCAAATGCAGACTGAAAAAGATTTTAAAACTACTAAAGAAAAATAAATCTACTTTGGCAGCGTTTCTGATCTCAATAGAATATGATGAAGTAGAGTCAGCTGAAGTAGAAGTAATTTCGATATCCACTGTATTTTTGGGTGCAATAGTGAAAACACTTATTTTACTGTCGCTATCTTCATACATTACAGATGGTGTTGTTGTTGTGCCATCAATATTAACTATCAAAGTCGCCGTTGTAGTATGGATAATTAGGTTATTCCTAGCGTTGTCAGGAATTGTTGAATCTCCTTTGATTGTTTTGGAAGTTGGAGCTTTGGCAAGTAGACTGGACTCAACAACAGTTAAAGTTTGAGTCAATGTGTTTGTTATAGAGGGAGCTTCGAACATTGAGAAAACGTAATTTAGGATATACTGTAAAAGAAATTCATAAAAAAAATTGTAAAATGAACTAACGTATCCGATTTTTCCACCTGAAGTTGGAATTCCATTTCCCAGAACAGCTAAATATTTCAGATTTGAAGAATAATCATTTTGATTTGTCTTGATTCTCATATCATAACGTCCTGATGAGAACAAATTTTGAACCGACGTCAGAATTGATTGATCAATAACCCAGTTTCCACTGTTAGTGAATACAAAAATCATTCCTCTTTTGGATGTCTGAATCAAGTTTAGATGCAACAAGATTGGGCATAATAGTAACTTGAGTGTTCATGGCAATGATAAGAGAGTCCATCAGACAGTTTATATCAACGACATCTGTCGAGCTTCCAATTTGTTTGAAAGCATTTTGTAAATCATTTCCGAATGTAGTTGTAAGTATGACAGTGGGTTGCTTGCTGACACCTATTATGAACAATGCATAAAAAACTAATAAGTAACTAAGCTTACATGATGCCACAATCAGCTGCCTTCCATTCAACTGGCTATAATCAATTGAACTAATATCAGATGTAACACCCGGTGAAGCAACAAATATGATTGTTTCCATGCTAGATCGAATATCAGGGTTGTTGATAGGTTGGAGACACTTGTTAGGATCTGAACTCGAGAGGTAGATCATAAAAACTTGCTATAAAGAAACTTATTTCACAGAAGTCTCCACTGAAACCAGAAACACAAGTACATAGTCCATTTACATTTAATGTACCATTGTTTTGACAAATTCGATCTTCACAATTTTCGCCAACAAAGCCTACTCTGCACAAGCAGGAGAAACCCTACAATAATTTTAGTTGCACCGCTGTTAGACTGTTAGTAAAAATGGAAAACAAAGCATACAGTGAATGTTCCCCCATTCAGACAATCAGAGACTTTAGCGCATACGAATGTTTCAATGCTTTGAGTTAAAGTAGAACTGCCATCTAATAAGACTGTCTGAAAATCATCGCAATGTTTGATCAAAAAGCATTAATCTCACCTTGAAGTAATAGATATCATTTTGATTTGAGCAGACAAAGGAATAATTCCAGAAATACTGATATTCGCTCTCTGTACGTGTATAGGTCAAAACTCCGCTATTGATCATCTGAAAATAAATTACTAAGATAATTATAATAATTTGGCTCAGACTTGGATGCTAGAATCATAAACAGTCATTTGAACAGTTTTTTCTGCAACTGATCTTACAATCGGATATTGTGCACTGGAAGACCCTAGAGTAGAGGCAAAGCTATAAATCATACATCTCAACTATAATAGTACCATAAATTAAGTTTCCATGACTGAAACTAGTTCCAAAAGAATCAGTGAAAGCTGTCGTGGTGATAATTGGATTATGTTGAGTATAGACTGCAAATGATGTCTAAAAAACATATTGTTTCTAATGATATTGTCGTTTCAGTTAAACATCTGCGCTAATTGGAACAACTGTGATTTTCAAAGCATTAAAGTCTTTGGTTTTAGTTTTTGTAGTTGTGGCAAACCAGAACTGATTTATGGCAGCCACAGAAAGTATTTCATCATTTAATGTTACAGAAACAGCTGAAAATATCCAAACTTAAGTTAAATTGTTGAATTTTAGTTAAACTCACGTCCATTGGTTCCTTTAGGAGTTTGAATAACAATGCTTATGTCTTGGTTTTCTCCGTTGGTAAAGATATCACGGTTTACAACTGGGATTGAAACACCAGCCGGCTGAACTCTTTGATCGAGAGTAAAGCTCCCAATAAGATTATTGAAGTAGAATGGGAAGAACTATAATACTGAGAGATGATTCGTTTTTTCATACTTCACAAACTTTAGATTGAATGTCAGTAGCATCGCGGGTATGGATGAAAGCACCTCCAGTTTTTTCTACTATATGCTTGTACAGATCAAAATCAGTTTGTGAGAGTGAGAACAACTCATCTTCATAAGCTACGACGTAGATCTGAAAATATTTGAAGATGAATGAAACATTTTCAGTTATGCTTTACCCTGCTTCTCAAATAGTTCGCAGAAGATTCAATATCAGAAGAAAATGCTAAGTCATTCTGCATGGAATTGCCCTTGATAAACAGAAAAACATCTAGAAAAAAGAATTCTCTGTTGCTTGACATGAGAATTACCTGAGAATTGAGAGAAATCTTCTTTCATATAAAGACCTAGCACATTGTTCAAGACTGCGAGCACATCAACTGAAGTGTCGTCTTTCGGTTCCTCTTGAACATCAGTCATCAGGGATGTTATGAAATCGTCCAAATTGGTAAATTCCTGTCATTTGATAATGTTATTCATTCCAATCAACCAAATTACCTTTGTATTAGTTAACGAGTCTGTCGAGAACAAGTTATAATAGTATTTTTTGAATTCTCCATAGGTTTTGATATAGCTAACCATATATTGAATTATATTGTTTGGTTGAATCAAAATGTTATTTCTGGAATATACTTAGAAACTATTTTTTCTTATAAAATCTTACATTATATCTTTTTGATTGTGAATTAACAGGGCGAATGTTCTACTCATATTTGCCGTTGGAAGCAAAATGTTACTTTGATCATCAATCATTGGATGTTCTATCTCGATTTCATCTTCATATAAACAGAAAATATTAATGAATAACTGATTCATGTACCTATGTTTTCTACTGACAGATGAAGAACGCTTTCATCTTCAAACACAGCTATCTGGGCAGTATCACTTTCAGGACCTGTTCAGTCGCAACATAATAAAATTTAAGGTTAGTTTTAATACCTGCACACATGAATGGAGTGACTGAAGAAACACTCTTTTCGTCTCTAACCACAACCGAAACAATATGAACTGCATCGCAATTCACATCACCAAGAGCTAATGAAAAGGTGCAGCTTTTACGTGGAGAAATTCGCTGAGTAAAAGTCGTTCCGCCCATGAACATCGCTGTTTTCACATTTACGGCGGTCGTTAACGCCGTATTCACTGACTTGATGTTTGCAACAAGTGTTCTGGTAGAACCTCAAAATGAACTATACAAATAAAATCAGTTGAAGCAATCTCACCAGTTATTGCGAAAGGTGATGTTGCATCAATATCTGGACTGGTTGTAACAGAGGTGAAAGTTTCAAGACGAACATTCGCATGAACATAGTAAGTAAACTGAGCAGAAGCTGTCGGACTCATAACGAAACTTGTTACATTTCCCGTTGTAAGTAAATTTCGCGCTCTACGATTGCGTATTATGGTTTAGAGCTCTAAGTATGCCCTTATATGATACCTATATACATACCAGAAGCCAGTTGTCATTAGCAACTCCAAAGAATCAGGTTTGGATATGAATGACACTGTTTGATTACCTATAATCCAAGATGTTTCTTCTCAAACAACTATGGTATTTTACTTTGATCACCCAACAGTCGGAAAATGATGTAGAAATCATCAGAACCAACATTAACTACAGTTGGAATTATTTTGTCAGTTTCTAAATGAGCATCAACTGGTCCATAGTTGCTGTTACTTATTTGCTCCAAAAACTCAACCGACTGAAGCAGAATTTCAAATAGATTTCCAGTGCAGTGACTGTACCTTTTCTACATTTGTATCTCCCAAAAGTCTGTTATCAACACCAGAATAAGGTGTGATGAAGTTACCCAAAGTACCTTCTGCTAAGTTGCGGAAAAACTAAACAATGAAAAATATATTTTCCTTTTATAGTTCTAGACCTGATAACCACTATCCTTGTTATAATCACCTGGACTCATCAAAGTTCCACTTTGTTCATAGAAAATGGAATTTATCTATAAAAACATATTTTAAATTTGCACTCAGCACCTTCAACTCATTACCACAATTCTCTTTGAAATAGCACGTCTGACGGCTAAATTGAAGGATACTTCGTCTCCTACTGGCAAAAGATTACTGAATATATAGAACTAAAAGTGAAAAGAATCTTGAGGTCATCATATTCGAAAAACTAACTCTTGATCGTGCTGGCAGCTTTACTAGAATTTGCGAAACATCGTATGTCGTCAAGTTGTTACTTTTATCGCAATCGATTGGAATTTCCTGCTCATTTTCGTCTTCATCGACACAGAAATTGTCAACATAGTTTTGGAATTTCTGCTTACAACCGGCTAAGTCAAGGCTTTTCGTTCTTGTGATTATAACAGGAGACTTAAATGTATTGAAATTTTCGAAAAAATAGAAAAATACTAACTGGAAGATAAAGTTGAAGCGTATTGTAAGATGAAGGGTAAGTTAAGAATGCAGTACACATAGCATCAATAGGATCGTCTCGTGATGTTGTAATTTTTTTTTTGAAATCGAGATTGTAAGGTATGAGAGCAGCCAAAACCTTTTCAGTAGGATCTTCGAATGTTGAAGGGCTCTCCTGTGTACAACGAACTTAAATTACGGGAGTGTCATTGATTCGAATGACTCGAAATAAATAACCTGCTTCACAGTTTTGACTAATATATCCTAAAGGGCAAAAGCATCCTTGATCGGATGATGCGGATCGAGGAGAACCATCATTCTGGCAAACTCGATTTTGGCATTTAGATGAACTTGTGAAGAAAGGTGTACATACACAGCTGTTTCCCGTATAATAACCGTCATTAGAACATGATGACTCTAAAAGTAGTTTGATTGAAGCATAAAAAAGAAAAAAAAATGATATTCAATACCTATCTGTGCTGAGCATTGAGATATAAATGTCAAACCAAAAAAAAAGATAACAAAAGATCTTCTTTCCCGCATTCCCTATATGAATATTATAAATGATCAATTATATAAAATATATATCAATATATATATATATATATATATATTGTATCAAAAGTATATGAATAGATAGATTACAAAAATATAACCTGAACCAAGTAAGGAAATACAAAATCAAAATGAAGACACACCCTGCTCTAATATCTTAGCGTCTCATAATAAAAAGAGCAATTAACGACTGATAACATTAATCAAATATGCCCTGATAATACCACACCCTCCTACTTTTTTTTTCAAATTAACTTGCTCATGATTCATATATATGAAATCATTTCTACATTCATGTTCTTTAACTTTCAATTATATTCATATTTGATAAAATTTCATTTTGTTATAACATTTCTCTTGTTATGACAACTTGAAGAGCACGAGGCTTCTAAGTTGCAACGTGCCGTCAATGTTAAGGGTATTAACAGTTAAAGTTTGAGTCAATGTGTTTGTTATAGAGGGAGCTTCGAACATTGAGAAAACGTAATTTAGGATATACTGTAAAAGAAATTCGTGAAAAAAATTGTAAAATGAACTAACGTCTCCGATTTTTCCACCTGAAGTTGGAATTCCATTCCCCAGAACAGCTAAATATTTCAGATTTTTTTTCATCATGAGCTATTGGTAGAAACAGAATCACAAGAAAAATTGATTGGTATCTGTTCAAAATAGAATAGCTCAACATTGGATGAACTAATGTTCGAAACACCTCACAAAATAAAATTTTTGAGAGCATCGGTCCTTCTCCTTGATATCCACTCCAATATTGGAGGAGAATAGCAACCTTTCTCACGAGACAAAGCTTTTTTGTTGCTGTTCCTACTCAAGAAATCAATTATTTTGTCATCTCCTGAGGTATTTATAAACAGAACAAAACTTCGGCACCAACAACGCCATTAGCTGTAACCGTTGATGCATTTAAACAAATCGGAAATGAGGAGAAAGGTATTTGAAAAAAGAAAATAATTTAAAATATATTCATTAGGGTATATAACATGTTAAAGGCAAC